CCTATACAACTACTACTACATTTCGGTGCATTTGCTTGTTGTTGAGTTAGTCAATTATTGTTTGTTCGTAGCAGTGACTTGTTATTGTGTAAATGTAACACCTTGCTAAAGAACACTTCAGAACAGCCATTCTAAAGGGTGGTTACGTGGCTTTTGAAGGAAGGAAGGAAGGAAGGAAGGAAGGAAGGAAGGAAGGAAGGAAGGAAGGAAGAGGAAGGGAGAATGAAGGAAAGGAAAGGAGAAAGAGAGAAAGGAGGAAAGAAATGATACCTCTAATCTTCGGCACTTGAATGACCTATTTTGTGTGACATAAAACTGTAATTCTTTCAAAAAGACAAGTGTCCGCTCACTCAGAAGCGAGCAGAGCAGTTTGTGAGTTTCAAACTCCGGCCGAACGTCATATTTCTTTTAAGTTACTCATTCATTATATTGATACATGTACGACTGCGTTCGTCTCCGAAGCGGAAAGTCCGGGTTCGAGCCTTGGTCCAGACACGGATTATTTTCGCTCCCTCCTGCCCACCCAGCATTAGTACATGTACATTGTAAGGAGTACATGTACCAGACTTCGAGTTGGGAAAGGAACCGGCCACCCTACCACAATATGCCGAAGGCCCAGGAAGTTGTCTTACTAACAAGGAAATCCCCAATGTCCGGATCGGACGCGGGAACAACTTTACTTTTTACACGTACGACATGAGAGTATTGAGAGGAAGAAAAAAAAGGTATTCGCCACAGAAATTTTAGAAGACAAAACATGACACGTGCGTGGAGATACTGAAATCTATGCAGTCTTGACGTCTGGAATGTAGCCTGCCTTGAGACTATTTAACCAATGGCCGTGAAAAGCTTTTGTTACCGCTATGTGTGCGACATGATATTGATATATAAATATACGTGTACTCGTAAAAAGCTGAGCTCGAACATAAATACACGTCTTTTCATTAGTTATCATATTTGATACCTTCATACGACTTGCGGTAGACGGTAAGTGTATGCCGTTTGTATAAACTGTATGTAAGCCTATAAATGTATAATAAAATATGTACATATAGTATGCCTGTCAGGACCAACCCGAGATGACAGGAATATAAGAATATAACATCCAAGCAGAAAGACTGAGATACTCGATAGAAACTCTCCCTATGTGGAAATTGAATTGAGACCCATGGTGTGCCACGACAAAATGCTTAATTACAAGAGAAGAGATGGCACTTATACAATGTAGCTCGAGCTGAGCAGGAAAACACAACAAAAGAGAAACCATTAAACAATACAGAATCTCTTTATTTCTTCTCATCGTGCATAAAATACATGTACAGACATACAGAGTAAAATGCAAGAATCTCAGCAGACACATAACTTAAAGACAATAATTCAGTTCCAGCAGAAGACAAAATTATAAGCTAAATAAAACTAAAACATCGTCATCAAAACTAAACCCAAAAGTCAGCACCAGGCAAATCCTAACCCAAATCAATGTACACATGTTCACTCAGTCAGTCTATGCCATGCAAATAAGAAGCACAAATAAATATTATTAGACATTTCAACCTAAAAATTACTCCTTTTGTCACAGCTACATAAGGGTTCTGGGGCATCAGATCTGGCATTGATGAAGCGACTTCTGTCTAAACACTGTTGTTATTGCTGAATGGTATATCGCTGAATGGCACTTAGGTCATTTTAATGTCATCAGACACCTATGTGTATAGTTGCCTTTCAGTTTCAGTGTCCGTCAGCAAAACAAATGAAATATTGTCATCCATTTACAATTTTGATGAAAATATTTTTAACCTTAAGATATAAACAAAATACTTTTACTGACCAAAGAACGCATTCCAGAAAACATCCAAGGAATGTACTTAATCCTTTACTAGCTAAAAAGTCAACCTCTAACTGTGATCTTCATCTGAACCCACAGATTCATTCAGAGAGAAAAATGTAACAATTACAATTTAGTTTGTTTAGTTTTAGCAGATGTTTTACAGCGCTCGCAACTGCATAAGGTCATATCAGCACCATAGCTGCCACTCCGAAATTTTTAAAAAGGAGGAAATTCATGCAAAGGCGTACGCGCGCTCTCCGAAACCAGTGAGATCCAGAGGCAATATATACTGGAAAATCTAGCCTACGGTTTTGGAAGGGAAAACTGTCATATTGTTAACCATAGGCAACTGAATTAAAATGTATTTGAAAAAAAAAAACCCAAAAAAAAACAACATAAAGGCAGTAAGTTGACTAACAAGCATTTGAGTCAATTTGACACAGTTTGGACTTGGTGACTAAAAATCCAGTGATTTTTGCCAGCTGGTGTCTCATAAAAAGATTTCTTTGCAGGCACTCCTGTACAATTGCGGTCCCGTTTGCTTAGTGCCCCTGTAGTGTGTTTCTTATTTAGATTTAGAGATAAACTGAATCAAAATTACAGCCTAGGCTATCTAATCTAGATCTAGATATATCAAAATATGTGTAGATCTAGATTATATTTAGAGATAGATTTTCTAGATCTAGATCTAGATCTAGAACTAGATTCACTTCCGCAGCAGCCACAATAGCCGTCATGTAAACAAACGGGACCGCAAATGTACAGGAGTGCCGCGGGCCGCGATTTCTTTCGCAAAAAACGACTAGATCTAATCTAGATCTAGATCTAGATTAGTTCAATTTTCTAATGAACTTTTCAAGTCGCACACCGGCTGCTTCTTTCTCATTCCAGCTCCTTTATTTTTGCAACTCGGCGCGCTAACGTCCCGATGCCCGATCGACACTGTGTTGCTCCACAACAATAAACAATGTGAAATTAGCGCTGGGCCTAGAAGAATGGAAGTAGAAAGCTACGGCGGACATGCGCAAACCGCGTTTTCGTCTCTCTCCCGGTTCGGTGTTTTCCGCGTGGAAAAAAAAAAGTATGAAATTTGCGACCAAGAGCGGTCCAGCGGAGGAAGGAGGAAAGTTGCAGGGAAAGCTAGATGTAGCGGAGTTTCCGCTATTTAGCGGGAAAGTGGCAGCTATGCAGCACCAAGGGGTGGATGTCAACAGAGAGGTCCTTACTGGGAATCACTTACTCTGCTCACCTCTCTAGGTTCAACAGCACAAAGTCTGCTTCGACTATCAAGGCACCCTGGAAATAGCGGGCCACAAGAGTGTGACAAACATACAAAAGAGGTAGAGAAAATGACAATATTAAGGATTAGGAAAGAGAAAGCAGCAGTTCCCTGTTCCAGTTCAGGCACAATTATGAGCATGACATTGATGAATCTGCCCATTTACAATTTTACTGTGCAAAAGAACATGTTAATGTCCCCCCTTTGGGAAAGGCCTAAAAACACTTCAGGCAGTAGCACTGCACCGATGGTGAAAATAACAATTTAACTGCATAAATAAAACACATGACACAACAGGCAAGTCATAACTCTCAAAACATACCACTATTATTATTGAAAATGAAATGGATCAAACAGCACACTGCCCGCAGCAAATACAAAGAAACACCAAAAGAAAGCCAGAATTACAGTCTATATTTATATGCTCCTTTCATACACAATGAAAAATGTCAGAGAAAAACACGTTTTTTTCCAGGTCTAATTACTCATATCTAAGAGGAGAGTAAACTACCAAAGCATGAGATCAATAAATTATTGAAAAAATATTTCCCAACAATTTGTTCACCTAAAAATTAAAGAGATACACATTACATCCAGGAACAACCAGGCAGCAGCCTCAATCTGCCCCATTCAGGTAATTTCCAACAAACTATTCAGCATGTGTTACTGGCACACATATCTGTCTTTGAACTTTTTTTAAAGGCTAGCTATTCAAAATTCAAAAAGATAGTGCGCAAGCTAAGCTTTTGTTAGACAGGCTCATCATTTTACAAGATTAGAAAAGATACTTGGGGGCGTTTACAATAGCAATATCATCAAGTGAAACAAGTCAAAGCACAAACGCATGAGCAGACTAGTGTGACCAGAAGTCCAGACATGGCCCTGAATAAAATTGCAAAATTACCCTGGAAAGCTAGCTATCTGAGAAGCAACAGAATTTAACATAGACAAAATTTTCAGATCAAGAAATGTATACATACAGTTGAGTGAGCCAAGACAATGCGCATGAAACTCAAAATCAGATTCCTTAAACTCAGTTCTCCATCCGTATATATATAGATATATATAGGTTCTTTTCTTTGTACTCATTTCACCCAAACATACAAAAAGAAATATAAAAGACCTGAACAGATGTCCCTACAGAGGTAGCAATCAAATAACGGAAGTAGCTATGCGTACGGCCCTCCACTTCAAATAAAGGCAACATTGTACCAGTGGTAGGCTATGCTTTTATTTATCTAACCCACCTCTACGTTCTAAGGCAGCAACATTAGCAACTCTCTGGCCCAGGCCAAGTAATTCAACAAGAGGACTTGGGTAGGTGGGAGCAATGTTACTGCAGAAGAGACTGACAAGCACAGAGGGTGCAGTGGGAAGCAGGAGTGCACCATGCAGATAGAGAATATTTACACTCTGTGCAAAGTGACAGAAGTAAAAAAAAAAAAAAAACCCAAAAAAACCCACATGGCAGTCCAAGAAAAGGCACTGACCAGCAGATGGTCTGATTTAAGTATTGCTGCATTCACAATTAGTAACCAAGCTCTCAAAGTACCGGTACATGGATCCATTTTTCGGCTTCCACCTCAAGAACAGCCCAGATGTTGTGTGTGACGAGAGACTAAATCAAAGGGTTCCAACCAGTTGTTAGAACAACGACTTACATGACCATTGATTTTAACCTATAAACAAATAACTTAAGATCAATCAATGAAGAGAAACAGAAATAAAAGTTCTGGTAGCAAATAACATTCTGCAATTGCTGCGTACATTCTTCAAATTGTGGCAAACAAGAACCAGATGTCTCCACCTCACAGTTCCTCCTTTATCTGTATTAACTGGGATGAGCTTTAAACAATACGGACAGAATGACAAAAAAAATCTGAGCCAGAATCCAGGTTCTTTCTATTTTTTTTAAATGACTGCCTTTTTCACAAACCAAATCCTCATTCCAAACTAAAATAGTTAAATTTAGCACAGACCAAAAAAAACAACAACAAAAAAAACCCATTGATCAGCACACATTGGAATAAAAAGAAGTGATCAATAAAAAAAGCGCACACCAGGTTGTGTGAAGCTGAGCTCCTGAGCAGCAACAGCACACCTTGTATATTACACAACACAGCTGTTGAAACAGCAGGATGATAGTCAGGACAAGCTGGGAAACACAAGGAAATAAATAGATGTCTTAAGAAGAATCCATGCACCGTTTCCACACTAGTAGTGGACAAGTGGACTGAAGTGAAATATCTTCGAAACTAAGGGAAGACTTTATGTTATAATAATACTGTGCACTGTTTTACACCTAGCAAACCCCCCCCCCCCAAAAAAAAAAAACCACACACACACACAAACCCAAAGAACACATCTCATCATACAACACAGACATATCCTGCAAGCTCATTCACTATTTTCATAAAAGCTTAACACATGAGTCAGTTCAGCATGCACCGGACGAGGGCAAATGATGCTGGACTAGGATAGAAAAAATTCATGCCCACCCATATACTCTAAGATACAACTTCATATAAATTCTGCAAAATTAACGTAATGGAAAAAGAAACTCGGTAGTAAACCACACTAACGTACTAGCATAACCACCCATGTATACCAGTGCCAACAATGCTCAACATACCTGAAAGACTAGTCAGCAATACATTATGCCAAGTGCACAGAGAGAGACATGCACACAAAATGCTCACGTAACGTGAACTACTGTGGTGCAGTAAAGGGAACTCTACTCCAATTTACAGCTACTTCCCACAAGTGACGCCCTACTATCCGCCACATAAACTCTCCTCATTCCCTTTGCAACCACCTGTCCATTACTGACTCTCATCAGTGTCAACATATTGAAGTTTTTATCAAGAAGAACGACCCACTCTTACTGAACACAAACTGAAGAAATGCAGAGGGTGGACAAAGGCTTAGCATCTCAAGACTGCTATGGAACCTTACTTTGTGGCATGTATGCCCAACCCAAGCTTACCCCTTGGCCCCATTAATATCCCATCCTTGTTTGAACCTATGTGACTGGGAAAACTATGTGGGGGTAAATGGACCGTGTATGTCTGAGTACTTGTGTTAGACTGGAGTAGTTATTAGGGCAGAGGAAGAAGCTTGGAAGTCAAATGCAAAGCTGAAAACTCACCCAGGTTTTTGTGACTGATTTTTTTTTCTCCAGTCAACATGTTTCGTGAACAAGTTCTCTTGCAATTGGTTGTGCAATAATAGTTCAGACTGTATCGGCATATTCTTTGAAATCTTCTTAGGAATTGATTTTATCAATTTTGCTGAACTTTAAATTGTCACAATAAAAGGTCCAGGGACATTATATGAAAATCTACATGAACTGTGAGACGAGTAGCCATCCGTAAGCAGGGGGAAAAGATATTTTATTTAATCTTAATTTTCCTCTCCCTTTCCATACTTTAGTACCAATACTTCAAATATTTTTGCAGCTTAAAAGGAAGTATCCGCATTGATAAAATTGGACAGGGGTAACATAGAGGTTTTACAGTACAGTCAACACAAGGTAGTCATAAAGAATTCAACTATTCTAGGCAATACAGTAAAGGAGGAAAAGGGAGCAAACCATTCTAGACTACCAATTTTCAGCCTTCTGAACAAAGGAATGTTAAACCCGATGATATTAAGAAATACAAAATGGCACAAACATATTTTTTTATTCACCTTTGGCTCTGGAATTTTGCAAAATCTCTTCTTACTCACAAACACCATGAACGTCACACCATTGATAAACATTCAGTTTCTCTCCCTATGTCATAAATACCTATCTATATAACCGAGACACGTCGGAACAAAGATGATGTGTACAACAAACAATACTCGAGAAAAAAAGACAGGAACCAAATTTACACAATCACTTTCGCATAATTACTTTTGCAAACAATTCTAAAAATAATGACCAACCAACCACCGAGTAAGTTTTATAAGCGTTCAGGACTCTCCCTAAAAATGTGTAAGGGGTAAAAAATTTTAATTACTTATCTCCACAATTAAAAAGAAAAAACAGAAAGATGGTACAAATGCGTATTACACAAGTTTCAAGCTAAAACGAGACAGAAAACTATGAAAGGTATGTCAGTCATAAACAATACCTAACAAAAACCCTGAGCTGCACTGGCAACAACGCAGACATGAAAAATTTAATTTACAAAAAGAAAAGATATAAATCTGTGTTTAAAAAAATTAGTTTCTGGCAAGTTATTACCCAAATTCAATGGTGACCCGCTGATATAGAAATGTTCCATACAAGAGTTCTGAACTATCAGACACCACACAACATACACATGCACTCATACCAAACACTGAGAATTATAAGATGAACTGCTACAAATTTTTGGAGCCAGCCACAACCACATGTTGTGCTATTGCTGATACACATAAGACTGAGGGGCATCATCGCAAAAGGAAAAAGTAATTTATCTCATAATTCTCAGTCTTTGCTCCTTTTACAATAAAATGTCATGGTCAGTGAGCAGTGCCGTTCTGTATATTCTTTGCTAGGAGTACGGTGTGCTGTCCTCCAGAGGAAACTGAGACACCTTGTCTGTGAAACAAATTTAAAAGACATAGTTACACATGCAACTGAACCCTAATTTACAGTAACTTCAGAAATTTCCCACTGGGAGAACAAAGTAAGTACTATCTTATCTTATCACTCATTATCATTCACTTCACAAACAGCTTTAGCTTCTTAAAAAAAAGAAAAGAAAAGAAATCAACAGCATAAATTGATAATTTTCCAGATGTGCCAACTTAGAACCAACGTTGCTTACTACCGCAGACTTTTGTTCCAGTTGGGCAGAGTCAAAACATGGTTCCAACACCATAGAAAGCATCGTGTGACTGCTTTACCCAACTCCATCAGGTTTCCAACAAGACTGAGTTTCAACTTCAACCATTGCTGTACAGTTGTGATATTCTCCTTTGCATTGAAGCCTGCTTTATCTTTTTTAATTTCACTATCATAAAGGAAGAATATTTCTGCTTTAAAACACTTGAAGGATAAGTACTAAACTGATTTCATTTTCAATTAGGACTCAAATCAAGCATTTTAAAAAATAAAACTACACCTGTTCAGATTGTTTATTAAAGTTCTTCATGTGTTAACATTTTTACCATTTCTGAAAGGTAATATTTAAAAAACTATAACAGGTTTATTTGTCATTTTTGTTCCATTGAAATGAGCTATTTTTGGTTGTTTCTGTATTAGAAATATGGCGTATATGGTGTAAGTGGTTAAATTATTTTGAACTTATAAAAAACCTCATAAAAAGCCCTGACTCCAGGGAAGGTGTTCTGAAAATTCCCCAGACTCAATTGAGTTAAATCTAAAGCAAAGCAGACTTTCACATACCTTGACTCCATTTGCTTGCCTGCTACCTTTGTCGGTTCAAATCTATCTTCATCATCACCAGCTCCCAGCTGGTTGTTGGAGCCCATACCCCAGGAATACACAGACCCTGCGGACACAAAAAAAATTTTTTTTTAATTAACACAAACAGCGGACACAATTCCTAGAATGCACTATTACAAAGGAATAATACTTTTCACTTCTGAGTAACTGCTATGCACTGTTTCACAGATAAATCAGGAGTAAATAATATGAGACGAAGATAGACGAACTATAATTATACATCAGAAGAACCACATAAGCGGCCATACGGTCATATCATACCATACATACAACCTATAAACTTGGAATGACAGCAAAAGGGTTATAATGAGTACAGTATTAGGATAAGCAATATCTTAGTCCCTTTTGACAGTGGGGAAATAAATGTCTCTCTTAGAAACAAGAAGCAAATCCATGGATGTGATAACTGTCAATTAGAGAGGGACAAAATAAAAAAGACAGAACTCACAGGGCAAAATGAAGAGGAAAATAAGTACATACCAGTGGTGCCCTTCAGCTACTCACATGTGGAAATGGACAGGCTATGAAGCACATTATTTGGTTCTTATTAATCAAATTTTAAAAAATCTGCTACAGCATCTGTGATGCTTCTCCTTTTAGCACTCTATTTGAACAATGATACTATTTACTGAAAAAAAAAAAAAAAAATTTTCCAGTCAAAACTTTCTATACATAAAAAAGCAGCACAAGAGAAGTCTCCAAATATTAAAATATTGCTTTGAAAGCAGCTTTCTCACCATCAGAAGTAACAGCAAAAGTGACACAGCCTCCTGCAGCAACATTGGTACAGGTAAAGTCTTGTAATGCAGGAACAAGTGTTGGCAGATCCTTTTCTCCACACTTTTCACCTAGACCAAGTCGTCCATAATCCTCTCGCCCCAACGTGTGCACTTTTCCTGGGAAAGGAGAAGGGGAAAGAGCATTCATTGCACAGTAATTCAAAAATTCCAGCCAAAAGAAATCAACTTCTTCAGGGAAACCCCTCCCCCCCCCAAACTAAGTCAGTAGAAACAGAAATTTACTGACCATCATAGTTGTGGTAAATGGTGAAATTTAACACTGTGGGACACACCTCCAGTTATTATGAACGTGAAGACTTTGGCTGCCAGTCAGGGCATCTCACAGAGAGGAAAACAAAACGACAAAAAGAGAAAAGAAAAAAAAAAACAAAGTCTACTCTCATGTGGCGAGTAAGAATGTCAACTGACAGCAAACCCATTCCATATCGGGGGGAATGGATATATTGCCTAGACAGCAATCCGCAAGAGATATAAAAAAGCAAAATTTGAAACAACCATTCCAAGGTGTACAAAGGAAAGAGACAAAACTAAACTGGGGGACTGCTGATCAACTCCCTTTTAACCATCAGACCGTTTTCCCAGCACTCATGCATGAACTAACACCTAAGCCAGATTTCCAGTTTTGTCATTGGGAGCTCTTGCTCTCAACACTTCACCAAGGAAGCCAAGTATAGGGTGGTTGGCAAGTGCTCTGGTGTGGTTTGCTCCATCTCTCCCATCAAACATCTATCATCCTAACCTCTCCTCTTTTTTTATGTTTGTTACTCTCTTTTAGTAACACCTCTAATCTTCAGCATTTACATGACCTTATTGTGTTGCAAGTGCTGTAAACTTTTATTACTACTAAATTAAACCTTACCTTTTCCATCTAAAGCTACGGTGTGGTGCTGCCCTCCACTGATCATTGACCACGGTCCATTTTCAGAGAAAGACTTCACTCTCTCGGGAACAAATCGATTTTCCATGTCACCAAATCCTGTGCAAAAGTGAAAGCTAATGATAATCAATGACCAAAGGGACAAGATACAATGCAAAAACACCAGCGCGCTGGTGAAAATACATAAACATTAATTAAAAGATTATGGTCACAACAAAAATGGTATTCAAAGAAAAAAAAGTTTAACTAAACCGATATGGTTTATTATCTTTCTCCAAAATAAGACAATATTTTTTTAAAGTGAGTTACTCCAAGCCAGTCTTCTAAATATAAAAGGAACTTCAACAGTGTACAAACATCTAACTTAAAAAAGGAAAAATCAAACTCGAAAAAAACCCAACTTATTTGTTTGTTTTAGTAGAGGTTTTACGGCGCTCGCAACTGCATACGGTAATATGGGCGCCAAGGGATGGATGCCAACAGAGAAGTCCTTACAGGGAATCAGACTTACTCAGCTGACCTCTCTAGCTTCAACAGCACTAAGTCTGCTTCGACTATCAAGGCACCCCGAAAATAGCAGGGCACAAAAGTATGACAAATATACAAAAAAAGTAGACGAAAAATGACGATAGTAAGGATTAGGACAGAAAAAGCAGCAGTCCCCTGTTGCAGTTCGGGCACAGTTATGAGCATGACATCGATGAATTAGCCCATTAACAATTCTACTGTGCATAAGAACAGGTTAATCCCCCCCCCCCCCCCGATTGGCCTACAGACACTCCAGTCAGTAGCATTGCCCCGGGGAGTTTTTAAAAAACCCAATAAACTTCCAGTATTGTCAAAAAACAAAGAACAATTCAACTTCGATTATCAACAGAGAGGGAACACAAAAAAAGATTTACACAATGAAACTGTAAATATAATTCCACAATATGCTTAAACCCCTGTCTAAAGAACGTGCAATATACATAAGCACGACAAAATTTTTAAAAACATGTTTTCAAATAAGACAAGAATGGAAATATTTCTCGAAACATAAGCGAACGAAATCATCCAAGAGCATAGTAAAGAATAGGCAAGACAAGACGTGCCTTCACACGTCTAAGAAATGAATGAAAATCAGGAACTATGAAAACAAGAACCAAGACAAGGCTTTTCATAACTCGTTTGGAAAATGTACTACTCTGTGGATCAGAAACATTCAAACTTGCCACAAAAAAACCCTTAAAAAACATTGGCCTGACACAATATGAAAAGGAAAAGAATAATATAGAAATTAGTAAAGGAGAAAAAGTAGACTGCACATGGAAAACTTAAAACATGGAATCCACGAGGAAAGAGAATAAGAGGAAGGCTTAAAAGAAACTTGAAGGAGGGACTTAAGATTTGGACCTCAAGAAATGGGATACAGCTAGACTGAGGTGAGGACCACAGCCCAGGTAAAAGTACATGGAGAGCTCTTATTGGTGGCCTGTGGCCTTTACTATGACACACAGTGAAAAGGCTGATGACTATGATGATGATGATGATGATGATGAGCATAAAACGATCAAACCTTGCACTTACCAAGCTGAAAATAATTATTAAGTCCCCACGCATATATATCTCCTGTCTCTTTATCTTGAGCAAAGGTCATGTACTGGCCCGTCCACACATCAGAGAAGGTGGCCAGTTTCCGACTTCTGTGACGCTTCACCTTAACACGACCAGGACTGAGAATCATGTCTGAAAGATAAAATGCCAATATACATCTTTTTTGGGGGGAAAAGGACGAACAATACTTTTACATCCAATCTATCTATCAATACCCAAAAAAGAACACCTTAACTGCTGACAATTATTATACATAACAAGTCTCTAAAGACATGCTGGGTCAAAGATTACTAGGGCAGTCTCCAAACAAATTTAATTATTGGGTCCAAGAAGACCCTAAAGACTGCTATTTTTTCAACTACAGGCTGAAATAATCTCTTTGACTGACCACCTTCAGAAGATGAACAATGCCATAGCTGCCCACCCCTCTCTGTGGCTATCACGGAAAGCCTTGCTCAAAATCAGGGACATTGTCTAATTATCAAAAACTTGCTGCCTTTTCGGTTTCTTTGTTTTACTTGGTCCAGAGTCTGACTTAGAACTCATCGCCAAATGTTTTGACACCATCTTTTCAAACCAGTGAAGAAGCCGAGCGCCGCGCATGCGTATCGGCCGACTGTGTCGAAACTGCAAACCTGCCAACTTTCCCGAATTTTTCGGGAATCTCCCAAATTTTCGTCCGTTTTCCCAAGCAAAAGAAGGCTAATTTTTCTGTTTTAGAAGTATGACTCCCAAGTTATTTTCCGGACCGTCTGTCAAAATCTGTGTTTCCGGGACAACAGCAATTTTTAAAGAAAATCCGTACAAAATGCAGATTGTCCGGGACAGTGGGCAGCTATGCAAAGCTGTCTGGTGGACAAAACTACTGTCTACCAGACAGGAATTATGATTTTGGGGAGACAGAGCCCTACACCTCCAGAAGTTTGTTCATTAAGACCAAGTATGAAGTAGTGATGCAATTGTATCAACAGCTCACTATATCGTGATTCTAATTCAACAGAGATGTTTGTGTAACATTCAAACTAAATACTATTTACTGAGGTTAAATCTTTTGTAGAATTAAATATTCAGCAAATGCAGAGCTTTCCACTTTTTTATTTTGCTGTGCCCCAAATGGCCATACTATTTTTTTTTTTTATGTTAAGTCCATACTCAGTCACTTCAGACTAAACAATAAACCCTAAGGAAGTGATGTTTAGTAGATTGAAAATGCAACATTCCAGAAACAATTAGACTTGATTGTCATCTAAGCTCTTTTTACTGTCAACAAAAAGTCTTAGAAGTGCAAATGCTAAAATATGACAACATGACCACAAAAATCTTACCGAGTCCTTTACGCCCCCCACGAGTAGCAAAACACTCAGCGATTCTTCCCAGCTGGCCCTGTTCAGCGCAACCTAAAAGTATCAAAAATGAAGGGAAAAAAATAATGAAATTGTATACAAAAAGAAAATGTCAATAATTTCTACCTAGCCAGGTCCATACAAAGTTATGGCAGATACCTCCCTGGCAAGGGTCAATAATCTGCAAATAGTGAGTACTATTTGATGTGGCGGTAAAGAAATAGCAGTTCACCATAAGATAAATATACCACAAAGATGGACAGGGTGTGCAAAAAAAACAACAACAAACCCATGTGCTCACACAGCACAAACAAGTCGAAACTGTATATAACGAAACTGATGTTACTTTTGACCAGACCTTCTCTATTGAGAATGTACAAAAATGTTTCTTTGCAAGACCCATGTCTAACAACTCAAATTACTTTTTCTACAAACTAAAAGCCAATACCAGCCAAAAAACATTTCATCTCATAAATCCAATCACATTGGAAACCAAAATTTGTCACATTGTTCATTTGCTAATGCCAGATATGCACCATTTGTTTACAAACTGGCAGCAAGAGAATTATATCCATTGATCACATACATCAGTGCCTACCAAGATGGGCAATGTAGCCCACTAGTGAGCAAGTTGGTAATTTTAGTGGGCAGTGGGATCATCCAGATAGGCAGGTATATTTAATGCGGCATTAGGAAACACAGTCAAACCTGCTCTATCTGCCACCTGTCCGGACCGCAGCTTCCCACTTCCTCCCTTGTCTTCTTTTTATATTATAGTAACACTGTCTAAGACAACCATTTTCCTCCTCAGACATTGTTGGCCATATGAGACAATTTCGATTTGACGCGTAGGCAGGCGGCACTAAACTTTTAGCCCCTTAAAGGTGGAAAAAGTAGACACAAAGTAGGCACCTTTTTCCTGTGCGTTTTAGTTTTGGTAAGTGTTTACGGCACTCACAACTGCTGAAAAATAAGGAAAATTCTGCTGCAGGTACCGCCCCCAGCAGGGTCCAGGGACAGTGGGTGGGGGTACAGGGGGCGAAGCCCCCGGAGAAATTGAAATTTAGTGCTTTTAGAGGGTTGAAAATGGCTTTTGGGAGCCTGTTTGAAGAGATCGCCTAAAAACCATAACATTTATTTATTCACCAACATTTTGTCTTGTTTGATTTCTTCACCAAGATCTACATAATATACATCCATTGATGGCAATGTTTAAAAGCAGGTACCCCTTCCATTGCTACTATAATTCAATTAATTTGGCATTGCACCATTGATAGAAGGCAAACCTGGGAATAATGAATAGATATGTACCGTCACAATATAGTTACCCGGCGTATACCCTAATTTTCCTTAAATTTCACGTCTGAATGTCGCATGTCACAACCTCAAAACACCACTCCGAATTATTCTTGATTTTAGTAGTTTTTGGCTGGTTTTAGCATAAATTTCTTTCATCGCAGCCCTTATCGCGTTCTTGTGCCGTAGAATCTTCATAATGATAAATTCTCTAGATCTAGACAAATTTGTAAAAAAATGTCTTTCTGACAGTAAATTTCTGTCCAAAATCACAAATTAATTTACTTGATCAACGCGCAGATTTTCCAGCCGCGGCATCAGTCCGAAGATAGACAGACGGAATGAGTGAATGATAGAAAGGAGGAAATTGGCACAAAAAGTTCGCCAGATTTTGATCAATCCACAGGTAAAAATGTACTGACCAACCCACAATGAAAGCATGGGGCATAGGGGAATAATGGCCAATTGCAGGAAATGCGCAATCTGGCAGGTTTCTATAACATTAACTTATTGCCAAGAGAATTACCGTTAATATCTGTAACTTATGCTAGTACTAGACGATACGAAGACAAGTACGGATCTTTTGCTACAGAGCTTCGGTAGTCCTACGCAGTCGCAGCTTTTTACAGAGGGAGTTGATAATGATGGAGGAACAAATACGGAACTGGCAGAAAGTACGGATTTCCGTAAAAATACAAAAGAGTGGAAGCACTGTAAATTTGAATTTAGTACGGGAGGCGGCCGAGGCCTACTCTAATCAATGGGCGCTGGCTACAAAAAGGTTGACAAGCACTGGAATACGTTGTGTGTGTAAATGCCATTATGGTTCAGTGGTCAAACAGACACCAGACAGAACCCAGTACAGCCTACCTAGAGTGAGAAGCTCTCCTCTGTCAGTGAGACAGGCCAGGTGGTCACTTCCTGATGCTATTTTGATAATCACCTCCTCTTGAATCAATTCCACAGGTGTCTTCTCAATACCATTTGATGTTAAGCCTATAGAGCCATTTGCATCCTGAAAAAAAAAGTGTCATATCATGAGCCACTTTCAACTCAGTTCAGAGACATATTGACACAAATTGCATCCAGCAATAAGCAAAATGCCCTTGAAGAAGTCCATAAGCTCAGAAGTAATCTTTCGTTCTTTAACTCTAAACTGGAATAAGTGTGAAAAAACATTGTCAATGAATAAAAATTCTATGCCAGAAACTCATCACACAAAAGGTAAAACATAATACTGCTGCTACATGCAAAGCAGAAAATTAACCGTCCAAATCTCACAACAACAAACATTCAGTTAACACTTAATAATAATGACAATGTAGATCATTTCTATAGCGCCCACTCCCGTGTTAACACAGCTCTAGGCGCTTTACATAAATGCATGTACGAACAATATTCACCCACGCGCACACACACCCTCACACATTACACACACATGGACGTCAAATACACACACACACCTACTTGCTTATTACATGTGCACGCTTACACATCGTTACGAAATGGGGACATACAAATTCACATAATAAAATAATATACACAATGCAATTCGCAAAATACATAAATCGATACATAGTCATTTACACAACACTGTACTGAACATAAATCTACTGACATAAAAAATGATGTCATTAAAGATATTTTAAATTTAGACTCAGATGTTGTATGTCTCCAGGGTTAAGATCGCCTGATCTTAGTGATTTTTTAAATGGAACATAAATCTGGATGAGACCATTAAGATATGAGGGAGCTTTGTTACTGACACATTTATGACATAATGTTGCAATTTTATACGACATTCTAGCTGACACGGGGAGCCAATGCAACGTTCTTAACATGGGGGTAATTTATCCTGTATGCCAACTTGAGAAGCCACAATCCATCCACAAGATACGAAAAAGACCAAAAAATTACAGAGCAGGAGAAAAACGCAGCCTGTCAGGCACAGAACACCAACACACCTGAGACAGGTGATTTTTTTCTACATGTAACACTAAACAACCTTTAAAAATGTACCCCGCCAGCAGCACACTTCACTTTTTTTTAAAGTCATTTGCGTGGTAGGAGTGCCTTTTCGAAGCTCATCATGGACTTAAGTTTAAGCCCTTCAGCCTCATGCAATATCATAGATGGAAAAGGCTTTTCTTTGAGTTGCTGCCCCTAGAATCTTATAAGTAGAAGCTGTTAAATGTCCCACACGATGAGGCATTCGAAAAGTTGTAGTTCATGGCAAGTTAACAAGATAAAAGTCACATTTCACCTTAAGTATTTACTTTCCTTGTAAAGTATTCCCACAATAGGGGGGAAAATCCTAAAATAGAAGCAATATATTTATCACCTATTTCATACCTTTAGAAACCCTCACCACACACTTAAAAAGCTCTCCTAAGCTCTAAACATTTTCTACACTTGGAGATGAAAGACTAAATGTATTTTTTTTAACAAACATTTGTGCACATTAGTTAATTATTTTCTCAGTAGATACTGTGTCAGGAAAGCTTCTCTGGTTTCCTTACTTTCATCTTGAAAAACCTACAAAGTACAAAGTCCACAAAATGTAAACTACCAGATGGTCAGGGAATACAGCATACTAATATTAAAACAATCAATCATATATGTGAGGCAGCGTGGTGGAATCAGGCTCTTGTCAACATAATCAAAGTGAAGAAACTTGCATGTTTCTGCAGGTTTGTGAATTTTTGTCAAATTTTCGTTTTTTGGCTCAGCACCTTTCATGCCTATTAAAGAACTCATTTCTATGTGGATTTTTTTTTTACGCCAATTCAAGGTACAATAAATGTAAACTTTCAGTTGCCACGGGCTCTTAAGCTAAGGAAATAATTAACTAATCTTTGGCGGCCATTTTCTCACTAATTTTAGCTCTGAAAACAGGTGACCCCCACCTCCTTTATTCGCAAATATCTCGACTTGTATTCAAGATAAATGGATATTTTTTTCATCCAAATAAAGAAGTGAACAAGCTTTCAGATGATAACAATAACTCTACATGTCCAAAAATTGACGAGAGCTTGGTTCCATCACGCTGCCTCACATATTGCACAGTTGCTTCGGATGAAGATTTATAAAACAGCTATATCACTTGCACTGCAGACAGAGATTACCTCATCAAACACTTACTCTGAAGTTTCCCCAGGCATATACTCTGCCATCATCTGAGAGTGCTGCAGTGTGACTGTCACCGCCCGTTACCATGACAATAGGACAAGGGATGTTCACTTTGGCAGGTCTGGTCTCAGAGCCTTCCACACTTGTGTCCCGCCCTAAGGCACCTTCATCGTTGCAGCCAAAAGTGTATACCTGAATACAAAACAAAGTTCCATGTTCCATCAAGTTGAGATTTTGATATCTCTGTAACAGATTCTTTATTTATGGTTGCAACAAATAAAATTAGAGTAATGTAACATCAGAATTAATTAGCAAAAAGGGGAACCAGTAATTTGTAGTATCAAATATTGCAGCAGCAGTTGGCACTGATTGAACCCAATGTAGAATAGTGTGTGTGCTGATCAACATTGAACTATGTCCTGTGATGTCACTTGTGTTTAGCTTATTAAAATAGAGCCAAAGTTAGACAGAACATGTAGGTTGTGAGCACATAATTAAATATAAAGGTGAAATTAACATTATGTCCTGAATTTCATTACAAATAATTTTCAAATTAACACACAATAAAACTGTTTGCTGTTCTAGTGGTGCAATTAACTGTTTCTGAATACAAAATTAATACAAACCTGGCCTGTACTGGTCAGGCACACAGTATGCATGCCCCCCGCACAAACTTGAATGACAGGATCAGGAATATCCACAAAAGACATCCTTGAACGCTCCATTATGTCCTCACCGAGGCCTAACTGGCCCACATCTCCTTGACCACAAGTAAGAACCACGCCTTGTGTTGAGCCATGTGAATCATGGCTCACTGGGAGAAGAAAAGAAAGTAAATTTTTTTAAAGGTTAAAGAAACTAAATAAATGACATTAACACAGTATAAAATACATCCTCGGTGCAAAAGGAAGAGCACACACTTGATAACAATATATTGTCGTCCATTAATAGCAACTAAAATACCCTCACCTTTCAATCGTTTCCGAGCAGAACCCTCCTCAATATGATTCAAAGTGCGTTTTTTGCCTTGAGCCTTTGACATCTGGAACAAAAGAAAATACACGTTTTACACGCTATAACCATTCAAGTAATCTGTGCCTATACAATACACCATAGGCATCTGTGTGTCTCATAAGCTTGCCACTTTACTTTCTAGAATACTATTATCAAGTGGGCTATTAAATACTTGCAATAATATTAATACCACAGATTTTTTTAAAAAGAATTAGATCTTGGCTTGATGAAGTTTTCTTGAAAATTGATTTAAAATGGTAACCTACAACTCAGGGTCTTTCCACCACCATTGCAGTATCATCATTACTTCCAACACCATTTGTCTTTCCACATGTTTCATTTCATTTTGTTATAGTTTTTCTGTAATTAATTTTTTTTTTAATCACATTGCACAAAATCGACAGCCAATGGCCTCTTCCCAAAGCTTCTTCTCCCAGAAAGCCGAGAGTGCAGGAGGGGTCTAGGGCTGTACACATAGCGGCATAAGGCTATGCATACAGGAGCCGTACGAATAAGTCACTTAGATATAATATCACTAGATTCTAAATCTAGATCTATTAATCAGAGTGTCTACGTACACGGTAACCGGGCACGTAGTCTCAGTATCTACGTACACGGTAACCGGGTGCTTAGTTTCAACGGTCCCTTGAGCTAGGTGCACGGAAAATTATACTTCACTCCCTTCATGGCCTAGACTTTTTACATTTTTCCCCCATTTTCCTGTTGTATTTATTTGTCAGTTTCACGTAAAACTTTGAACCCAAATAATGGAACACATCCGTTGTGTTTACCCACTTTATAAATATATGAATATGGCCTTTCTTTTTGCCGCAAATGAATAGTTATTGAGCTACTGATGTTTGAAAAAATAGAATCAAACCAAACAGAAAAATGGGTCAATGTGACTGTAAACATGGCTTATGCGCATGCACAATTTTTACCCTAATTGCATATTAATACTCGCGCATGCGTTGTTCTCGCCATTGCCGTACTGATTTTTTTCTGCGCATGCGCAGTACTAGTTCAGCGAGATTTAAATAATTCTGGGAGGTTGTGCCTTGTGACGGTAAATTTCTGATTGCTGTTTGATCTGTACTGTTTTATGATGGGTCTTGTGATGATCATGTGCATTCTTGTGAGGATCATGTGCCTTCGGGCAAGTCTTTTTTGCTCATCATTCCGTGGATAATTGTGCGTTCAAGATCATTTGTGCTGGATAGTATTTATTAAAATGAACAGTGATTCTTTGTTGATGGCCTGTGTTTCGCATAGTGATAGTGCTTGTTCTTCGTGCTCTATAGATTATTTTGCAGCTATCCACAGATTTTATGACGATGACGAGGAGTATAGTAACTATTTAATGAACCATGATTTTCTCGCAGATAAACTTGTGTGCCCTAAGTGCAGTGGAATTTGCACATTTCGACCAAGTCAGCATATCTGGCGGTGCAGATCTAGCTCGGTGATTCCGAAACCAAAAAAACTCAAACACTGTGATTTTTCTGTCTCCACATATAAGGGTACTTTTTTAGATGGTTGCTGCCTTCCTCCCTGGAAGGTTGTATTGTTCGTAAATCACTATCTGAGCCGCCACTGGGACCACAAATTGTTTTATTGGAGTGTTAAAAAATTTCCAGTAAAATCTCTGTTGACTGGCGGTCATTTTGCTCCGAAATGACCGATGCTTGGTTTTCCAGTCAAGAGGCAATCGGTGGACCTGGGGTGCATGTTGAGATAGACGAAACACTGATAGTGCGTTGTAAGTATGAGAGAAGTTGACCCCTAAACCAGATTTGGCTGTTTGGGGGTGTCGAACGAATATCAAAGCAGCAGTTTGTCGTTGCCCTTACAAGCGACATTGGAGAAAAGAGAAACAAAGAAACCCTGAGGGCTTTGATTGAAAAGTACATTCGCCCAGGATCCGTAATCTTCAGCGATTCTTAGAAGGCGTACCACGGCCTTGATAAGTTGGGATACGATCATCACATGATCAACCACTCGGAAAGTCTTGTGAGCTCAGAGGACTTAAACATTCACACCCAAAACATCTAGCAGTTGTGGCGGGATATAAAGGAGTGGGTGAAGCGTCCCGGCATTCGCTCAAAATACCTGTTCTAGTACTTAACACGGTACTTGTGTTTGTACCTTCGGCAAAACACACGGAAATACCCCGTTTATTCTGGAAAGAAGCCGCCCGACTGTACCCCACCAACTCTGGCCGACGGCGGAGTGTCCAGATTGAGAGTTCAGAAAGCGAGTGTTCCGAGGAAGAGGGAGAGGAAGAACCCGAAAATTAACGGTGAGTTGTTTAAAAATCTGGGGGGTTCAGGGGAGCTTCCCATTATTTTTCTTTTCTTTCCCCTGTAAAGCAATGGTTAGCGGCAATTTTCACGGCCATATTCCTTTTCAGCACCCCAAAAAACGTGAGGTCACCAAAAATAGTGCTTTTGCGTGCGGGTGCATCAGTAAAAATTTACCCAATGGAAGAACAACGAATAGATTATTTTTAGGCCTATGTCATAATTGTTACAGTAATCAGGCCATCATTGGAGAATTCTGGGTGACAAAAGCAAAAGAAGTCAAGGTAATGAAGGGAGCGAAGCATTTATGATTTACCGTGCACCTAGCTCAAGGGGGCCCCGAAACTAAGCACCTGGTTACCGTGCACGTCGACACTGAGACAACGTGCCCAGTTACCGTGTACAAAGACACTTCCATTAATTCTACAAAAACTAGGAGGAGGGTAGGCTAGGCTACATCATAGGCCTAGATCTAGACAATCTAGATCTAGTCATAATTTAACACTTTGTCCATCCTGCCTCAGCATGGGCGTGGGGCGACTGAGAGACGGACCAACAATGAGGACTGAGAATAAAATCAGACATCAGACTGAATTGAACAGTCTCCTCAACTAGAATCTTGAATCTAGATGTCTAGATTTAGATGTAGATTCTAGATCTAATCTATCTAGAATATAGATCTCGACATTATCTAGATGTAGAAGATCGAGAGTAGAATATAGATCTAGATATTATCTAGATGTAGAAGATCGAGAGTAGACTATCTCTGGGTTGGGTATCACGAAAGTGTCTCCACTTCAATCATCACTCCAAACAAATCTAAGAAAATGAGGTGGTTAGACTGGTAATTGTTTACTTTCTCGTGTTTAATTCAGGGGGAGGACTTCCTTAACGAGCGACCACTCTGAACTCTGTGAATATTATACTCAATGGCCATCAAAATTAGTGTAGAAGTAGAAGAAGGCCTAAAGCCAGAATGTTACTACATGATCTAGATCTCTAGATTAGATCTAGATTCGATGTGCCAGACCGCGACAGTTAATGAGGTCAAGAGGCTGCGACTCTCGTGCGTGAAGAAAACATGAATAGGCGTGTGTGGTCACATAACTGACCTATTTCTTCTCACTTCGGACGCTACTGCAGTGATCTCCTTTGATATGTGTTCTGGGATTAGGTCGAATCGCAATGCCCCTCGATTGCCCACAGTGCAGCAAGGTGCCGCGACCGCATTATTTTTTTTCTTCGGTCTGCAATTATGCCCTCGCCGCGTCATTTTGCCTGCCCAGTGCACGGCATTCGATGCTATGGTTCTTTGATAACACAGAGAGAAACTTACTTGCATACATTGCTTGTTTTTCATTGTTTTCATTCATTCATGCATTCAGAATGACCACTCATTTTGAAAATAATGAAAAAATTTACTGTCCAAAAAACAAAATACAAATATATAAGAAATGAAGTAGTAAAAGGTCTCTTACCCCCCCTCTCTCTCCTTCCCTCTCTCTAACACACACACACTCTCTCTCTCTCTCTCTCTTACACACACACACACACATGTACACACATTAAATTAATAAACACATGCACGCATTCTCAAATGATAACAACAACAACAAAAAACTGATAACAAATGGTAACTGGTTACCAATAAAACATCAATGAAAGGAATATATTTCTCTTTCTCTCTCATACACACATGTACACCCCCCCCCCCCCAACACACACACACTCAAATGAATACAGAAACATCAGTAAACTGACTAAAACAATGTAGTGCATTTCTCTCCCCCTCTCTCTTTCTCACTCTCTTTTCTAAATGCAAAAGTCACATGTGAAACCATTTATACTTTCAATATCCACCTAGTGTACCTGTGACATGGACAATAAATTTATATTTTTTACACAGAGGTGAAATGGTACCATGCAAGGCACATTTCACACTGTATCCATCTATCCCCTCCCCAGACTCATTGCTACACACAGGACACACACTCCCAACACGTGCCATGGACAGTTCGATTTCATTCCCAAGACTGTCGTCAGATAAAATATCATCTGAATGGTCATCCTAAATCATTTCTGTCTTCATCATCGGACGTTTCTGAGTTATACTTCTGGCTCTTTCTTTTTTATCTTTCCAAAATAGACCTTAACTGTTTGTTTTCGTGCTTCTTCTTCTCTGCCATCTCTCTCTTCGCTTTTTTCTGCGCCTTCTGTTTCTGTCTCTCTAGTTGTTGCTTCTTTTTTTCTTCTTCACACTGCGGCGATTGCCTTTTCTTTTCTTCATTTTGCTTTTTCTTTTCCTCATTCTGTTGTTTCTTTTCTTCAGCCTCTCTCTTCTTTCTCTCCAATTCCACTTTCTGCTCTGCCTTCTTCCTTGTTTCATCAACCTCTGTCTGTTCCTTTTCTTTCAGTAGTATGATAATTTCGTCCACACTCATGAATTCGGGCATTTTTTGCCCTTTTCTTTTCCTCTCTGCCCTCTTACTGGTCTCTGGTGTTGGGGCTCTGAGGGCGTCTTGTGGGGTCTGTAAAACTGGTTCAGCAGGCCTGGGGGTGGTTAGTTCAGTGTAGTAAACCTTTCACAGGTCAAATAGAGGATCACCTGGGCTGCCATTCTCAAGCCGTTTGAAATATCCCTGAAGGGTATTGGCATCTACCCGATTGCATATCATGGCGAATTTTTGTAGGGTGTTTCCAAGGGTAGATGCAGGGGATTCTGATGAAG